GGTGGTGCCCGCACGCCAATTGCCAGCAGCGCATGCCACCCCCAAGGACCTGGCATTCCCCAGCCCACCCCAGGAGCAGCTCTTCCCATCCTTCTGGCACTGGGCTTGGGGACACCATCCACCATCTCACTGGGCTCTGGGGACTCCTGTGGGTCTGTGCTGCTGCCTCCAAGTACCCATCCAGCTCCTTACTTGTGGTTTGGGGCACCTGTGGCCCTCGTGTGACTTGCAGGTGGCCCCGGCTCAGGGAAGGGGACCCAGTGTGAGAAGATCGTACAGAAATATGGCTACACCCACCTCTCCACGGGGGACCTGCTGCGGGCAGAGGTCAGCTCAGGCTCAGAGCGGGGCAAGAAGCTGCAGGCCATCATGGAGAAGGGCGAGCTGGTGCCCCTGGTGAGTCCACGCGGGTCACCGGCTGCGGAACAGTGGGGCAGGCAGGAGTGGCTGTGGGGGCACCAGACACCATGGTGACGGTCAGCATGTGGACCAGGGACATCTCCATCCCTGTCACCCCAGGGGAGGTTTACAGCAGGGATGGGGGGGGCAGATGGGTGCAGAGGGGGGGACCACGTTGTTCCACGTCAGCCCTGGCAGCTCTGTCCCTGCTCCCCAGGACACGGTGCTGGATATGCTGCGGGACGCCATGGTGGCCAAAGCAGATGTATCCAAGGGCTTCCTCATCGACGGCTACCCCCGCGAGGTGAAGCAGGGAGAGGAGTTTGAGAAGAAGGTGAGGGCTGGTGCCATGCTGTGCCATGCATCCAGGCAGAGGGGCTCCATCCAGCAGCAGCCTAGCCTCCCCATCACCGTGAAGATCCTGTCCCAAGAAGGTCTAAACTGGGCACTGTCCCAGCCAGCAGGTCCCCTGCCTTGGGGACAGCCCACACCCAGGGTGCAGTGCGGGGAACATCTTTCCAGGGTGTCCTCAGGCTGACAGAGGATGACCACAGTGCCGGCGAGATAGTGATGGCAGAGAGCCAGGGCTTGGCCACGATGTCCCTGTGCCTTGGGGCCACTGGGACACCAGAATGGTGGCCCCCAGACCCATGTGGAGGGAGGCAGAGGATGGCGTGGGGTCATCTGTGACCCCCATGCTCACTACCACCATCTCCCCAAACCAGACCCATGCTGGCTTGGCATGGTGACAACCATGTCCCCCCCTGCCCATAGATCGCCCCCCCCACGCTGCTGCTCTACGTGGACGCGGGGAAGGAGACGATGGTGAAACGCTTGCTGAAGCGAGGCGAGACCAGTGGGCGGGTGGACGACAACGAGGAGACCATCAAGAAGCGTTTGGAGACCTACTACAAGGCCACTGAGCCCGTCATTGCCTTCTACAAGAGCAGAGG